AAAAGTAACGAAGTAACGTAATTAGTTACTTTTTTTATGGAGTAACGCAATATTGTAATGCATTACTTTTAAAAGTAACTTTCCCCAACACTGGTTGTGAGTTAAAGTCCAATTTTGAGGGGAGGAAAAAGACTGATATGTTCTCAGAATTGCGAGTTTATCACGCAATTATGAGAAAAAAAGTCAGAATTGTGAGATAAAAAGTCGCAATTACCTTTTTTATTTTTAATTCAGTGGCAGAAACGGGCTTCCATAGTTATTATCTAAACTAAACATAAAAAAATAATTGTTACTTGAAATAAACTAAACTTTAAAATACTGAAATAAAACAAAAAAACTTATTTTAACATTTTATTTCAGCAAAATTTTCCAATTTCTTAAAGTTTAAGCTTAGGTACTAAAATAACTATTAAAAACACAAATAAACATTACAAAAACACACAACAAGATTATTAAACTTTAATAATAATGAATTGTTTTATAGCAGCTTTAAAAGTTGCATCTCAAAGTACTTTACAAAAATAAAATAAAACAAAAATACAACAAAAATGACAAACATACATCAAAACAATTTAAGAAGAATATAATATAAAAGAAAAAACGATGACAAAATCACATAAAAGCTACTCTGGGTTTTAAGAGAAAATTTGAAAACGTTTAAATAATAAAAAAAAAAAATGACAGTGAAAACAGAAAAAAAAACAGAGATAAAATCTAATTCAAAATATTAACAAAAGCTATAATAGTATCTCATTGATGCTAAAATAACACCGGAAGATGTTTCAAACCATGCTGTTAATTTTTAAGGATTAAAAAAATACAGTAGTGAATACTAAATAATTGCAATAATATTTTATTATAATGTTAATGATGCACATTATGATATCAGGATGCATAGAAACATTTAAGCTCGGCAAAAACACAATCAAAATCTATGAGCAAATAATGTTGTGGAAGTTACTCTGAAACTGTATTTTCTCAAGAAACAAGCTCCTAATGACAGTCAAACTACAAATATTTCAGTATAATTGAGATACTATTATACTTTGTAGTTATATTTTTAATTAGTTTTTATGTTTAAATTTGTTATCTGTTTTAATTAAGTTATTTTAGTCATATTTTTAAGTAATTTTGTTGTGTGGTTTTGTAATTTTTATTATTATTTTTTTAAATGTCTATATAGTTATCAATTTTTTTTCAGTTTTAGTTTTAGATACTTTACTATACACTACCAGTCAAAAGTTT